GAAATATCGACAGGAAAATTCTCGGCAACGTCAGTATCATCATAGTATAATTTCTGACGTGGGGAACTTTCTGGGAAAATTTCGTAACTTGCTGCAGATATTAAGACCAACATAAATATAAGTGCATCTCAGTAGTCTTCAAGAATGAATTAAACTCACCATCCCCAATTTCTATTTCCTGCAACATTATTTCAAGATCATGGATTGTTCCAAAAAACTTGGAACTGCTGTCTTAACAGAGTTCCTTAGCATTGCAGCCATTGTTCTTTGTGTCCATGCCGCATTTTCCGATGCTGCTTGCCATGAAAACGAGAAGCAAGCTCTTCTGGCGTTCAAGCAAGACCTGACAGACCCTTCAAATCGGCTTGCCTCTTGGACTGCGGGTCGGGATTGCTGCAACTGGACCGGAGTTGTCTGCCACAACAGAACCGGCCATGTACTGAAGCTCCATCTCGGGAATCTCCATGATCCCAACGAAGATCTCGTCTTCCCTGGAAAGTTATTCGGAAGGACAAGAATTGGTGGAAAAATGAATCCCTCTTTGCTGGGTCTGAAGCATCTCCGCTACCTGGATTTAAGTGGGAGTGATTTTGGAGGAGTACAGATTCCCAAATTCCTAGGTTCTTTACAGAGTCTTAGGTATCTGAATCTCTCTATTTCTGGATTTGGAGGACTAATTCCTCCTGAACTTGGAAACCTGACGAATCTCAGGTACCTCGTTCTCGAAGGTTTTTTCCCATATTTGTTCTCAGACAATCTTCAATGGCTCTTCAACCTTCAACACCTACAACACCTGGATTTGAGTGACATAGATCTTAGCAAAGCCTCAGATTGGTTACAGGTAACTAATCAACTCCCTTCTTTGGTAACGTTGCGGCTATCTTATTGTCAACTTGGTCATATACCTCCGTTACCGAATGTCAATTTTTCCTCTCTGGAAATCATTGATCTTTCCTCAAATGGATTAAGCAACCCTTTTGTTCCTCCTTGGATTTTCGATCTTGATTCCCTGGTTTCTCTTGATCTCAGTCACAATGCTTTCCAAGGCCAAATCCCAGATAGTCTTAAAAACCTGAGTACGAGGCTTACATGTCTTAACTTAGCATCAAACTCATTCTATTCATCCATACCGGATTGGCTGTACAGTTTCAGCCATCTTGAGCTCCTCAACTTGGCCTACAATTCCTTAGAAGGCACTATCTCAGATGCCATTGTGAATTTGACTTCACTTGGGAGCCTTAACGTCGCATACAATTCACTTCAAGGGCCATTGCCAAGTTCCCTGAAAAGTCTTTGCAACTTGAAAAAATTGTACCTCTCAGGTGTCAATTTGAGGCAGGACCTGTCCAAAGTCTTACAAGCTCTGTCTGGATGCTTCTCTGGTGGACTTGAACATTTGTTCTTGGATGATTGCCAACTTTTTGGTCACATGGCAGATCGACTTGGTCATTTTCAGAACCTAACCAAACTGTCCCTGTCTAAAAATTCGATCTATGGTCTGGTCACAAAGTCCTTGGCATCACTTAAGTCATTGAGATTACTCGACCTGTCAAAAAATCTACTTAATGGGACATTTCCTGATTGGTTTGGAAAGCTTCCGGAACTGCAACAGTTATGGATTCATAGCAATTCATTACATGGTGTTGTTTCTGAGGCACATTTCACTAATGTCACAAAATTGAGGGTTTTCGTGGGCTCCAGAAACCGTTTGATCTTGAATGTAAGTTCAAATTGGGTGCCACCATTTCGACTTGGGGTCATAGATTTGTCATCATGGAACTTCGGGCCGAGTTTTCCCTCTTGGCTTCGTTTCCAGAAAGACTTTGTCTATTTGGACGTATCTCTTGGAGGGATTTCTGATACAATTCCGAATTGGTTTTGGAATCTATCTACTCAGTTCTTTAATCTGAACATGTCTCACAACCAAATTCAGGGGAAAGTTCCAGAAGTTTTTGATATTTCGCCTCCTCTTGTTGGCGATTCTGCATCCATTGATCTTAGCTCCAATCTCTTCGAAGGTTCGTTACCCTGTTTGTCCTCAAAGGTTGCAACTCTAGATCTATCCAACAATTCATTTTCCGGAGAGATTTCCCACTTCTTGTGTTACAGAATGAACGAACCAAAGAGCCTGCGAAATCTTCGTCTTTCAGATAATCACCTTTCCGGTGAAATCCCTGATTGTTGGATGAATTGGCCCTCCTTACTTTCCATTGACTTGAAAAACAATTACTTGACTGGAAATCTTCCGGGCTCAATTGGGTCTTTAACTCTTCTTCAATCCCTTCATCTTCGAAGGAACAACCTTTCTGGAGTTCTACCGGATTCAATGCAGAACTGTACAGCACTCCTCGCTCTTGACCTCAGTGGGAATTCTTTCACCGGAAACATTCCTTCTTGGATTGGTGAAACCCTGTCCAATATCATAATCACCAGCCTTGGTTCTAACAATTTCCGAGGTCAGATTCCTGAAACACTTTGTTTACTTTCTTACCTTACAATTCTAGACCTTGGACACAACAGTGTGTCCGGAAATATACCCAAATGTTTCATGAATTTCAGTGCAATGTCCATAAAACGAAACTCGAGCGTCCCAATTTCTTATTCCTTCGGACACTACGGCCAATCTTTGGAAATAACATTATTAATGATCAAGGGAATTCTGCTTGAATACAGCACCACTCTGCGTCTTGTTACAAGCATAGACCTCTCTGATAACAATTTATCTGGTATAATCCCTGAGGAAATCACTAGTCTTGTGGGGTTGTTTTCCTTGAATTTGTCGACGAATCACTTGACTGGACATATTCCAGGGACAATAGGCCAAATGGGGTCATTGGAATCTCTTGATCTCTCTTACAACCAGCTTTCCGGCGAAATTCCTCTGAGCATGTCTTACTTGACATTCTTGAGTGTTTTGGACTTGGCTTACAATAATTTGACAGGGAAAATTCCATCAGGCACTCAGCTTCAGAGCTTTAGCGCGTCAAACTTTGCGGGAAACAGTCTTTGTGGGCCTCCGGTGACGGCAAACTGCAGCACGAATGGTGCAACGCCCGGTGGTGGGGATGATGGGGGAGATGGTGATGGAGGGGAAGTGGATTGGTTGTGGTTTTCTGTGAGTATGGGTCTGGGATTTGTTGTGGGATTTTGGGGCTTTATGGGTCCTCTCCTCTTTGTTAAGTCCTGGAGATGGGCTTATTATGGTATGCTAGACGACCTTTGGTATAGAATATATTACTCCTGCTTAAGCTAATAATTGAGGTATTAATCCGAGAAATTGCTTTTGTTGAAGTACGTGGAAATGTAAGAACTTTTGTTTGAAAAAATGAAATTTAGTTGTGATGGAATTTATTTTTGCATTTGAGGAAAAAAAAAAAAAAAACTTGTTGCAAATTGCATACATTTTTCTTGTTTGTATTCTAGAAATGGTGAACAAGAGAGGTCCATCCACCCTTAAATTGTGCAAGTACCCAGAAATGGTGAAAAAGAAAACTTATTCATATTTTAATTTAAATTGTTGCTAATAAAAAACTTATTCTTTCAAGTTTAAAAATTCAACGCCATTTTTAAAAATTTTCACAACACATAAAAATAATTTTAATCTACTTAGTTTTTTGTTAGTTAGAGTCCATAAACTCTCTTTTTGATACGAGTGTGGCGGCTTCGTAAGAAGCCACCGCTTCCCGCCATAGATTCAAAGCCTATTTATTTAATGTAAGACAAAGTTTCAGTTGAGTTCTTTCATGGTGTTTTTTTCTTTTTAACTGTTGTTAGGGTTGTATATGTTCTGTCCTCTGTTCGTGTTTGAGAGCTTCGAGTCTGCGCAGTAGATTCGGGCCTCTCGGCTTTTGTGGTTTTGGGTTCTGCGCAGTTTCTGTTTGGGCTGTTGGTAATAGTACCGCTTTTGTAGATATTATAAACAAAGTCTACGCCCATTACTCTAAATTGCTAATAGCAAATTTCCATGTCGGCCCAAAAATTAATTAACAAAACATAATGCTATTACCAAAAAAAAAAAAAAAAAAAAAAAAAAAA